GGCGCGGCGGCGGCGCCGGCGGCCGAGGACGCGGCGCCCACCAACGGGTCCGTGCGGCGCCGGGCGGGGGACACGGTCCCGATGGAGGTCACGTGACCCGCGCCGCGCCTCATGCGTGTCAACTTGTACAAGGCTGTGAAATAGTTAATACGAGGGCGTCTGTACGACATCGCTTCGTAGATACACCGGCCCTCGCTAGTTTTTTTTAGCAAAAGAGACATTCGTTAGTTTTGTTTTGTTCGTTTAATGTGTAATGTGCGCGTGGAGACGGAATAGAAATGTTTAAACATGTGTAAAATAATAACCGCATTACTGTGTATCATATAGTTTTATGTGTATTATAAATAATGAAAATATTTACTTAATAACTCGGTGAGGCGTGGTCGCGTGTCCCGCACTCGACAGATCGTATAGTTTAGTATTATTTTGTGTTTGTACCATTAATTTATTATTAGACCTTGTATATAGAGACAGTTCCGTTTGATATCACCCTTATGTTGTTAGTGATAAGGTCGGTAGTCGACCGGCGACGTCTCCGGCCGTGTTTCAGGATATACTTGTAACCGCACTCGCTTGTATGCAACACTGCCGACACAGAATACTGAATCAATATTGAAATGTCTGGCAACCCTACGAAATTGTTTGGTGGCAACACTGGAGACGAGCGCAGTGTTGCTATAGTAATGTTAAATACTTAAGTATCTGCTTTCGATGGAAGGTAATGCATGTAAAAATTATTTCGTGTCATTATTGTATCTCGGTGGGCGCCAACTGAGACTTGTACCGAGTCGCCCTTGTAAGGACGCCTTTCTATAGCTCTTATATTAACCAAAATGGACTCTGGTAAGAATAGAGACGATACTAAAGAGATTATATCATTGAATTAATACGCCATGGCTACAGTATTGAAACTTGAAAATTAATTATTATGTTTCTCGGCTTACCCACGTAACTGTTCGACTAGTTTCAAGCAATGCTAGAGGCTCATATTCATGAGCAGTAATCCGCGACATTACGCGGCGACTGTCGCGCTTTTACTCAAGAATATGAGCCTCTAGCATGGCTTGAAAGTAGTCGAGTTCCTCGTTAAACAGTTACGTGGGTAAGCCGATAAACATAATAATTAATTTAGTATGTCTCACGAAACTTATGAACAACTTGTTGCACCCATAATATATTAATTCAGAATGAAAATCACTACTGAAAATATCTCTATTCGATCTAAAGTGTCCATCTTAGCGATTGTAAAATTATTCGATCAGGACTCTGAAGTTAGTCACAAAGCAATAATAACTCTCTTGTACCTAACTTCACAGTACTGATTAAAATAAAAACAACGGCTTTGTGTGTGTTTTGTAGGAGTAAGGAACACAGTTTTTAACCAAAATCTTATACATATTAAAGTTTAATAGTCGCTTTTACCAACCACCCCCTAAACCATCTCTTAACTAAGAGTTACTTAGCGTGAGGAAGCGCCTAAACTAAGCGCTTACTTTTATGTTTAGGTGTCACTTATTGGTTGGCGATAACCGAAATATTGTTAGTGTCCTGAGATTCCTTAAAATTCAAGAGCAATTGGTGAAAACGGATATTCTCACATGTCTGTCTGCCTGTCCATATGTTTGAACAGACATCCCGCAGTACCTACTGTACGGATTGGGATGAAATCGAGCGCGGAGATAGATTGTAGCGTAGGCCACCTAGGCTCTCTATTTCTCAACTATTGGAAGGTTCCTTAGTTCGGTCGCTTATTTCAATTGTCCTGGTGGATACTTGCTGGTCGATGTCGTTCTATAACAACGTAGACTAAGTCTCAGGCATATAGGCATCTTATAAACATTTAAAAATGCACTAAAAGTCATCAATAACGAGATACAGTCCACTGCTCGACTATGTGCCTCTTCTATATAAGTTTGCCATAATCTCCACACTTGGGAAACGGGTTGGAGATTGCAGTTCCAAAGGCTCAGGCTAAGTTTGTAATAATCTCAATCATAATCGCTTGGCAAATAGATCGCAGTTTTACAAGTTCAGATATATCAGAGACCGCTGGTGCCTTGTCTCTGTCAAATGTGGAGTCCCTTCTCCGGCTCTTACGCCACCCGCGGGGAGAGCAGGGGTGGTTACAAATGTTATCTACCCTGTCATCACTGTACAACTTGTCCAACAAAAGTCATTACATGTTTTTCGTGTTATTTGCTACCTCCATGTGATCATTTGCTACACTGGCGCCGCCGTGGGGAGTTTTGGAACCGGAAACTTGCTTGATACAACTAAATAACATTGTGTTCCTTACTTCTATATTTACATATTGTTAAATAAGATTTTGACAATTTCAAATAATCTCCCTTCATAACTGACAAATGTCGTTCATAGAATTTTCGACCGTAAAATTGTACATTAAAGTTGAAAGTCTATCGAAGATATTATACAGTTCAGTTTATATCTTTAATTAAAAAAGAAAAACGCAGAAAAAATGTACCGAATTATATTATAATATAAATAGTAACGAATTGACTGTTTGTTTGTTTGCACATACTGTAGTGCGGGACTGTTCGTGTAGACAGTCGACTGATAGTCGATATTATTCTTTGTATATCAGATACTGATGGGCCGCGGATCAAGGTATACTAAACTTAGATTGATTTTTGACAATGTTACCTTAATGTGAGGTTTGGAAATCCACTAAAAGATGTTCAGCGTCCCAAACCTATTTCCCCATTGCCATTCCCAATCCCCCAATCCCCTGAAAGGTCGGCAACATACTTGTAACACCTCTGGTGTTGCGAATGTCCATGGACGACGCTGATTGCTTACCATCAGGCGATGCGTCTGTTCGTTTACCTCCGTAAAAATATAAAACCTCCTATAAAAATATAAATTTACTATATTTAAAGTGATTTTCGACGTAATAATCCTAAAATAAGGTTAAAAATCCATTACATGTTTAGTATAGTTTGATTCCCGGTCAGTCTGCTTACGCCCGTAACTATACGCAGTAACCACGCAAATATAGACCCTACTGTAAAGGGGAGAAGGCAGTGTATTGTATATAATTGTGGTTTACTATCATTGGAGGGTACACAGCGTGGATAGATTGTAGCTGCTTGTCTAATTTGCAAGATATTCACGTTGAGATGGTTGCTCGTCAAGGTATACTAAATTGTGCTGAAATTTCAACTTTATTGACTTGTTGGTAAGATTGAAAATCTAATACAGAATGGTGTATGTTGACGTGCTGCTGTCAAACGTAATAAGTTGTCCATATTTGCCATTGTTGCTGTTCAAGAAGAAAAATACAGTTTTATATTCTCTTCGCAACCATTTATCTCCTGGTAAAATTATACATTCAGCTGCAGCTGCCGCTCTGCTGACCCCCTCTACGATATAATACGACTTGTAATTAAAATATATGACACACAAGTGAGATTCACAATATGTTTGTAACGTTAGCCTGTATTATTCAACACGTTCTTGTATTCATATCAAGTTGTACACAACCAGTGGAAACTGACCGTCGAATGTACGGAGAGGTCGTACGAAGCAGGACCATGGTGGACTGGTTCTGTATAGCTTGTAGCCGTGTACATCGCGCGCTCGTTCTCACAACTCTTGCGTCTGTCAGGGCAAAGTTACTGTTCAATATTACATGGTGCAACAACCAAGTCAGTGAGGTTACCCCATCCCTGTTCCCCGTATCTCCAATCCCAAATGCACTATCCCTATCCCCAATCTCCGTATCTCTAGTCCTTACCCCCATCTCCAATCCTTGTATTCCCATATCTTCAATATCTAAATCCGCATATCCCCAAAACTCAAATCTCCAATGTCAATCCCTAATCTCCAAGTCACTGAAAGGCCGGCAGCGCACTTGTGATTGCTGACCATCAGGTGATCCATCTGTTCGTTTGCTGATTTATTTAAAAATTATAAAAATAATGTTTAATATCTTCTACTATGGGTAAATATAACGCTTCAATATTATAAACATCTCTCGCTGATTCTGTTACATAATTATTTCTAGCGACTTTTAAATTATCTCAAGTACATAATGTTATTAGTATTCCAATCAAATACACACAGACGGTCACAAAATCGTGGTTCCATTGTTATTGTCTCATACATTATCGACAAAAATCTCTTCAACTATGATGATTTAAACAAAATACCACCGTATTGACTTGTGAATGAAAGTGATTTCACATTAACGCATCAGTTGTGCGGACAGTTCGCGGTACCACGGAACTTGTTCCATATATAATTATGACATGAACAACATTTATGTGTGTGCAGACGACCGCACGTCAAGATATACCTTCAGACAGTACATTTGGAAGCTTATTGTCGCGACATAAGGTTGGAAATGCATTAAAAAAGAAGGCTAAGATGATATGCCATGTTTCATACAACTGTTTAATGCATTTAGAAGCTTATTGTCGCGTCATAAGGTTGGAAATGCATCAATAAGGGAAGGGTAGCTTGACACGACGACTACGATGTATGGTGTCCGTAAAGTAATTTGTAGAGTACTAGGGAGTGTGTCCATTCAAATTATTAGATATATACGTGTAGAGACACAACGTAGGTAGATAGAAATAAAACAAATAATAATTATTGTTTTCGTTCATTTTTTACGTGGCAACATTGTAAGTTGTGGTCTGTGCTCGTTCGCGAGTGTTGCCATACACAATGTAATGAATACGCTTCGATGTAACTTGCAACACGCAACGTGTCGCACAACGATCACGGAACACAACGATTGCCATAAACATTTGCCTCGTCAGTCTTAATGTAGTTTCTTTTTCGGGATACAAATATATAATGGAAATACATTTCGTCTGATCACTTCTTGTTAGAAATTTTGCAGAAAAAAAGCAAAAAAAAAAATGTTAAAAATATCGTGTATTTTAATGTAAACTAAAAAAAAACATTGGGGTTTAATCTAGCTATGCGAAAATTATATCGAGTCGTGTTACGCAAGTGTCCTGTTGTCTCAACGATTATAAAAAATTTCGTGGGAACGTTTTTCATGGCAGCCCATCGCGCATGCGCTGTTAGGAAAAATGTCTCGCAACAAAAAAATGTAACGGTTTAACTATGTCTATACATATATAATTAGTAAGTATCATATACTGTACAAAAAGGCTGCAAATTTGGGAAAAAATGTAAAAAAAATAATCGGCCTCAAGTTGTCGTTGGGGCCGATAACATACGCTTAGTAACGTGAATAGAATGATGTACCTCATAAGTTTCTGAATTCTAGTTTAGGCGTAGTCGTTGTGGCCGCTCGCGTCGCTCGTCCCGCTCGTACCGCTCGCACCGCTCGCATCGCTCGCCCGCGCCGCGGCCGCCGCGCCGGTTATTATTTGTTGTAAATATTATTATTTTGTATCTTTCTGCCCGCTCGGCATGCGAGCTTCAGTCAGCTTCGCGAGCTTGGAGCGTCGAGGGTCGAGGGTCGAGCGGCCACAACCTGACGCGACGCAATTATACATTATTGCTCTGTAAAAATGTTTGTAAAATAGTCATGTTCACAATTTCAGTGTAGTTTTGTTGATTCTTT